TGCTGTTCTGTGGCGACGGATTTGCGGGTCTTGTCTTTTTCTTGGCTTGCAGGACCCTGTATGTTACTAAATTAGTTTTAATCGTTTAATCACCACTACAGCGTCTTGTCTCCATTGGCAACACGCACGATTTGTGTTGATTGCAAGTGACGTCGCAGGTATCGGAGAGTGCAAGTGGCGATTGCAAGTGACTTCGTAATTTAGTTTCTTTTGTCTTGTCTTCACCACCTGGCTACTGTTGTAAAATGTTGAGAGATTCAAACAAAAAGTAATCAATAAATAGAACAAAATAAAAAAAATAAAGACTGCAAGTGACGTCGCTAGCGGAAGTGCAAGTGTCTGAGAGTGCAAGCCTGAGAATGCAAGTCTGAGAGTGCAAGCGCCAGGCTGCAGCCAGACCCTTCTCAAAAAACTGGACGTTATGATCATTCAGAAAACATTCAGAAATAATGTTTTCATAACTGAATGAAACACAACATTCTTAGAACATATTTTTTGTTAGCTGAGAAGTTATCTGGTCTTTAATAATATTCTCCAAACATTAGCACACAAAAAAAAGAAACATATTTATACATCATTCATGGAATGTTTTATTTTTTAAATGCTACTACATGTTTCAGAATGTTCAGAGAACATACAAAAGTAACATTCCCTTAATGTTTGCATAACCAAAATAAAAAGTTATGATCACAGTGAAGGTCTAAGACCAGAATGCAATGTGGTAATGGCAGAAATTGACATTTTTGAGACACTTGAGCGGTTTTTGTAGTGCAGTGGTTTTCATGCACCAGCTATTCTTCTAAAGTTCTTACTTAAAGGGATAGTTTCCCCAAACATTTACTCACCTTCAAGTTGTTTCAAACCTGTATTAGTATTTTTTTCTTCTTCTGTTGAACACAAAAGAGGATATTTTGAAGAATGTTGGTAACCAAACAGTTGACGGTAGCCATTGACTTCCAAAAAAAAATACTATGGAAGTCAATGGCTGCCGTCAACTATTTCGGTTACACACATTCTTCAAAATATCTTTGTGTGTAGTTGCATAATACGATGTTATTATATTATATTAAGATTGATTCTTCTTGAATATTAAGTCATTTTGCCTAACATAATGTAACTAAAAATAATTTTCCAATGGAATATGATACTTACTCATGAATTAGCATGGATGCATTTTAAATGTAATGGCATTCAGAAACTGTGTTTGAATAAATAAATAAAAAACATAAAGAGATTACATTTATTTATTATGATACCGTTGCATAAAGCAATATATACTATATAGCAAATCCCAACTGCTTAGTTGCTTGTAAATGTCACTATGTTATCATCCAGCTGCTTTGAAACATTGTGTATTGTGAAAAGCGCTATACAAATACATTTGATTGATTGGACTTGATTGATTTAATTTGACATGCGGATGGATGATGCACACAGAGACGTGCTGTTTAGATCGGGTTCGTGTTGAAGAGCTACTAACAACTCATTTATTCACATAATGCTCTCTCTCTCTTAAAATCTAAACAAGTGTAAATGTCAGCATACTGTGTGTCTAAAGGATTGAGTCTGTCAGATAAAGCAAGAGCTTTTTGATGCAATTCAGTCAGTGATGTTATTCTCTGTTCTTACCGACTTTTCACTTGACTTTTTGGTATTGTTATAACACTGTTCTGCAGTGTTTCTTACTTCACTATCTTTGTTCTGTTGTGTTTATTTGTCTTGTCGTTTGTGATTAGTGTCTTACGTCCCGTACTTGAGGTGCTGAGATGTCAGCGTTAAACTCTGCTGCACAGTGGCAGCTTGTTAAATCCGTAATAACAATATTACACGTTTAATTTATACTTATTGTCAATACTAATAAGTCCTGCGGTCCTCCGGGGACTGAACTCGCATATTCAGCCCATTTCAGCTGGATAGCGTGTGTAATTAGAGAGCAGCTGATGATTGTTTGATTAGTGCAGCCGATTATTGTCTGATTAATGATTTGGGAAAATGAAATGATGTGCACTAGTGCAGTTAATTGGGCCGAGAGTGGCCTTTTGTCTCACTAGAGCAGAGATATTCAAGCTATTTGTGTAAAATAAATTAAAAAGTAATGGAGATCTGTTGTGTTTTCAGATTTTAAAGCATTGCTAATACAAGACATTTACATTTAGAGATCATATTGATGTATTGTGTTCCATTCGATTTATTCTTCTTGCAGAAACCCTGTACATACAGCTCTGCGACAAAGAGTTAAACACGTTTTTCCATTTCAAAGCTTTGTTTTTATAGTCAACAGACACTCATCGTGTCCAGATCGCTGCTTTACAGCATCCAACATCAGCGTCTCTCAATATAAACACGAGTTTCTCTGCCAGGTTTCACGTCTGCCTTTGGGAAGCGCAGATGCATGATATTTCATGATATTTCTGCTCTCGGCAAGTCAAAGGACAGACGCCTTGAACTCCCACAGCCTCGTCACACAGGCAGAGCAGAAATAATGCCGGCGCTGAGCCCTGCGGGTGTCTGGCTTCAGCGGGAGCTCCGGCGAATACAAAACACTTTTTCTATACATGCAGAGAAAGAGTGAGATATAAAGGCGTCTATATATAGAGCATGCTGTTTTCCAGTGCACCTGCACTTCAAACGCGTCCTATCCCATTCAAATGAGCACGAGCCCTTCAGAAATGCACGCTCGCTGCTGAACTTTGATGGTTTTTCTCTTCCAGGTCGTACCATCATCCTGTCGACGCATCACATGGATGAAGCAGATATTCTGGGCGATCGTATCGCCATCATCTCGCACGGCCGCGTCTGCTGCTGCGGCTCCTCGCTCTTCCTCAAGAAGACGTACGGTAGAGGCTATTACCTGACGATCGCGCGGGCCAATCAGGAGCGAGTCATGGCACAACGAGCCCCAGCGATTAAAGAGGTGAACTAGCCCTGGCAACACTCAAAAATCAGTCAACCGTTTGTTCAGTTTACTTTATTTAAATAGGTTGCAGTGAACAAGTTCAGGCCTTCTACACACAACACAGAGAATAAAATAGACAAACACAAAAAAACAACAACAAAAAAACATAATATTCATATCATATTCAATGATATTCATTGTTTTTTAGAGTATTATTTATATATTATTATAGTATGTATTAATACTCTGAATTAGCTTTTTTATATTTTCAGTTTTCATTGTAATTTTTAAGTTATTATTAAACTTATTTCATTTCTGATTTTCATTTGTTATCAGATATTCATATTTGAATTTATTTTAGCTTTATTTCAATTAACTTTTTTGTCATTTTAATTAAAAATAACAACACTGGTAATATTTACAACAGAGGTGCCCAGATGTTTTATTAAGGGCCAAAAATTGCACTTTACTGAGGGCCACTTATTGTGGGCCAAACGTTTTGAATTATATCCAACTCTAATATGTGACCCTGGAGCACAAAACCAGTCATAAGGGTCAATTTTTTGAAATTGAGATTTATACATCACCTGAAAGCTGAATAAATAAGCTTTCCATTGATGTATGGTTTGTTAGGATCGAGACAATATTTGGCCGAGATACAACTATTTGAAAATCTGGAATCTGAGGGTGCAAAAAAATCTAAATATTGAGAAAATCGTCTTTAAAGTTGTCCAGATGAAGTTTTTAGCAATGCATATTACTAATCAAAAATTAAGTTTTAATATATTTACAGTAGGAAATTTACAAAATACCTTCATGGAACATGATCTTTACTTAATAGCCAAGAAAAATGTTGACCCATGCAATGTATTTTTGGCTATTGCTACAAATATACCCCACCGACTTAAGATATGTGCTCCAGGGTCACATATATTAAAATGTGCACTTTTTATCAACTTGACCTATTTTTGGTACATTTCAATAATAAAAAAAAATATATAGAAATTAAGATATGCTTCAATTCCACTTTTTGGGCCCTGATGTGGGCATATCTGATTTATCATATTAAGAAGTTACAAGATATGCACAATTTTTAAGCTTCAAAGGGGATTCATTTAAAGGTACTGCTGTTCCTAAAGTGTTTTACCTTGTAAAATGTCGAAAACAGCTAAACAACACCGTCAGGTAAAACTAGTTAAACTAGTTGACTAGTTATGTCCCATCCCTACTAGCAACCATGTGGTTAAAGTTTTTAACTTTGCCTTCCATATTTCTTTGTGTGTGTGTCCGACAGTGTGATAAATTCAGCGTGGATGAAGGAATCTGCAGTGACAGCATCAGCAGTCTGGATCCGCCAGGTTCACAGCTCACTCGCTCTCTAATGAACACACTCACAGTGTCATTATGCAACTGTATAAATGTATTTTCCTGTTCCTCCTGATCAGACGTGGCAGATCTGAGTCGACTGGTGCGGCGGCACGTGCCGGAGGCCGAGTTTCTGGAGGTCGTAGGTCAAGAGCTGGTGTACGTGCTGCCGTATACAGGCGCCACAAACGGCAGCTTCGCGTCCCTCTTTAAAGAGCTGGATCTGGAGAAGAGCACTCTGGGCATCACCAGCTACGGGATATCAGACACGAGCCTGGAGGAGGTACACATCGGGTCACATCGGTGACATTTACACGTGTGGCCCATTGTGTTTCACTTTACACCAATGCATCGGTTTGCGTTTCACATTTGGCTTTGATGAGCAAATGCAGAGCTGCAGATAGTAAGCTGCAGATCAATGCATCACACCAACTATTGATTTATCAAAATCATTAAAGGTCTTATTAAACTGTGCATAACCTAATTGACATTAATGACCCCATCCCTCTATTTTACTCTAAACACATCAATTACATGGCATTTCCAGTTCACTTCATCGAAAGGCTGATACCAAATAGACCAGTAAACCAGTCTGTTTAGTTTAATTTATTTAGGAATTTAAAGAAATATCCCAGTTTTAATTTTCAGTGTCACAGATGCAGAAAATAATTTTCATATATATATATATATAATTTCATGTTTTCAAAAAATCATTGTGCTGTGAAGTTGTGAAATATTATTACAATTTAAAATAAGTGTTTTCTATGTGAATACATTGTAAAATGTAATTTATTCCTGTGATCAAACCTATATTTTCAGCATCATTACTCCAGTCTTCAGTGTCACATGATCTTCAGAAATCGTTCTAATATGCTGATTTGCTGCTCAAGAAACATTTTTGATTGATTGATTGATTTGTGGAAAACCATGATGCATTTTATTTTCATGATTCTGAGAGTTCAAAAGAACAGCATTTATTCAAAAAGGAATTATTGTGTAACATTATAATTGATTTACTGTCACTTTTGATCAATTTCATGTGTCTTTGCTGAAAAAAAGTATTACTTTCTTAAAAAGTAAATGAAATCTTATTTTTATTTTTTATTTTTTTGTAGTGAAACTGCAACTTTTCCAGCTGAAGCTGTGGAGTAACACAATTTCCTGGTGTTTAATTTCACAGATTTTTCTGAAGGTGGCTGAAGACACGGGTGTTGACGTGGAGTCCCATGGTAACCTCATATATATTAATATTCATTTCATTTTACACTTTAATATAAAGTATCACCATCTCCAAAGTTTATATAAGATGCTTGAAAATCCATATGACAAGTTATTGATATGAAATATCATTTTAAAAGGATTACATCTCTCTTTAATAATAATAATAATAATAATATACTCTTTAATATAGTTTATGCATTACTTTATTGTTTCTGTTTTTACCAGTCGTATTTTAGGCCATTTTAGGGTTCCTCTCTTTAACTGTTGCTGCATCTATGTAAATGATGCTCACGCTTTGCAAAGCTGGACTACATGGTGACAGTTTCATAAAACAACTGCACTGAAATGTGCCACTCAAGCTGTTAAATTTAGATTAAAATGTTCAGGGATCTTGTTAAATGTAAACCTGGACCTCTCCTTTCTAACAGTGGGAACCTTTAGAAGGATATTCGGTTTATTTTAAGGGCCTTACGGTTTGTCTTTGATAAGAACAGGCGACTCAAATAAGGGCTGAGATGAAGTGTTGCAATTGTACTCTCCTGTTTCACCTCAGAGTGTGTGTGATCGTGTGTATAAGTGGGTTAATGCGTGCGCAGATAAGAACAGGTCAGATGAATAAGCTGAAAGTATCACACTCCTCCAGAATAACCTCTGTTGTGTGTGTGTGTGTGTTAATGTCTCACAGATAAGAAAGAAACTCTTAAACAAAAGCGCAGAAGCAGCTCAAGGATATCAGGAATACAGACTATCAGCTCAGCACTGGAAGGCAAAGATGCAAACGCTGTGAAAAATGGTGCGCTCAAACGTAAACTGACACATATATCCACTGTACGCTTATATGTGTATGGAAATAAACATACTGGCCCATTCGTTTACAAGCTGATCTTTTGAAAAATTCAACTGATACTGAGAAAATAATGGCTTTGTATCATATCACTGCTCTGTATTTTTTCCTCCTTGTTTTGAAACAGATGCAAAGGTTAGATTCACTAGTCGCGTGGAGGGTAAGTCAAAGTTCTTCCTTGTTTCCAACACTAAACATGTAATAGTAAGCCAGCTGTACGAGTGAGCTAGCTGTAGTGATAAGGCAGCTTTAATAATTATGGTTACTGTAAGCTGTAATAGTGAGGTGGCTGTGAAAGTGAGTTATCTGTAACTACCGTTGAACAGTTTAGCTGTGCTACAGTATTGTGGTACTCTAGTTTCAGGCTAATTGCGATGTTACAGTATTTTCACAACAGTAATTCTGAAATGTATGGATGTAAATATCCAGCACTTAAAATGAACTTGAATGTAGCAATGAAGTACTGTAACAGTGAGGTAGCTGTAACTGTGGTAGCTAAAATAATTGAGGCAGCTATTACTGTATAGTTGAGTCAACTCATAGTTAAGGTAGCTGTAACAGTGATTCATTTGTAACAGTGAGGTGGCTTTAAAAGTAAAGTAGCTGTAACTGTGCGGTATATGAAGTAGCTGAGGCTGGTGTAATAGTTAAGGTAGCTGTAAGGTAGCTAACAGTGAGGCGGCTGTAACAGTGTGGTAGCAAATATATTTGAAACAGGCGTAATAGTTGAGTCAGTTGTAACAGTTAATGTAGTTGTAACAATGAGGCACTGTAACAGTTAGGCGGCTGAAACAGTTAAGTTAGCTGTGTAACAGTGAGGCAGCTGTGACAGTGTGGTAGCAAAGATATTTGAAGCAGGTGTAATAGTTCAGTCAGTTGTAACAGTTAATGTAGTTGTAACAATGAGGCACTGTAACAGTAAGACGGCTGTGAAACTTAAGTTAGCTGTGTAACAGTGAGGCAGCTGTGACAGTGTGGTAGCAAATATATTTGAAGCAGGTGTAATAGTTCAGTCAGTTGTAACAGTTAATGTAGTTGTAACAATGAGGAACTGTAACGGTAAGATGGCTGTAAAAGTTAAGTTAGCTGTGTAACAGTGAGGTGGCTGTGACAGTGTGGTAGCAAATATATTTGAAGCAGGTGTAATAGTTGAGTCAGTTGTAACAGTTAATGTAGCTATAACAATGAGGCACTGTAACAGTAAGATGGCTGTAAAAGTTAAGTTAGCTGTGTAACAGTGAGGGAGCTGTAACAGTGTGGTAGCAAATATATTTGAAGCAGGGGTAATAGTTGAGTCAGTTGTAACAGTTAATGTAGTTGTAACAATGAGGCACTGTAACAGTAAGACGGCTGTGAAACTTAAGTTAGCTATGTAACAGTGAGGCAGCTGTGACAGTGTGGTAGCAAATATATTTGAAGCAGGTGTAATAGTTGAGTCAGTTGTAACAGTTAATGTAGTTGTAACAATGAGGCACTGTAACAGTAAGACGGCTGTGAAACTTAAGTTAGCTATGTAACAGTGAGGGAGCTGTAACAGTGTGGTAGCAAATATATTGGTTACACTTTATTTCGATAGTCCACTTTAGACATTCTATTAACTATAAGTAACTTTGTAACTACATGTCAACTACATCTCATTAATTTGCATCTACATGTCTACTAACTCTCAGAGTAGACTGTTAGGGTAGGTTTAGGGTTAGTAGAATAAGTTGACAAAGAAAGTGTTAGAAGATATTAAGCAGACAGTCTACTAATACTCTACTAACTGCTAGTTGACATGTAGTTGCAAAGTTACTTACTGTTAATAGAATGTCTAAAGTGGACTATCGAAATAAAGTGTTACCAATATATTTGAAACAGGTGTAATAGTTGAGTCAGTTGTAACAGTTAATGTAGTTGTAACAATGAGGAACTGTAACGGTAAGATGGCTGTAAAAGTTAAGTTAGCTGTGTAACAGTGAGGCGGCTGTGACAGTGTGGTAGCAAATATATTTGAAGCAGGTGTAATAGTTGAATCAGTTGTAACAGTGAAGCCGCTGTAACAATGAGGTAGCTGTAACAGCGTGGCAGTTATAACTGTGGGGTCGATGAAGTACTTCAGACAGCTGTAATAGTTAAGGTAGCTATATAAGTGTGGCAGCTGTAACAGTAAAGGTGGCTGTAACAGTGAGGCAGATGAGGTGCTTGAGGCAGCTATAATAGTTAAGGTGGCTGTAACAGTGAGGTAGGTATAATAGTTAAGTTAGCTATAATATTTCAGACTGTAGTAGTTAAGCACTGTGTGAGACTGTTGTTTATGTTACAGACACCCAGCGGCCCATGTGTGTGAATGGCAAAGGGTCGTACGTCATCATGGGTTGGTCACTGATCAAACAGCAGTTTTTAGCTCTTTTTATCAAACGTTTCCACCATGCCCGCAGAAGTCGGAGGGGAATCATCGCTCAGGTAAAACCATCAGACACATCAAATACCCCGTAAAAACCCTCTTGCACTCGTTTTGCTCCTTCAAGTAAATCTCTCTCTCTATTTTACATTCTGTAGCTGTGTGAATTTAATAGGTTTAGGCAGGTCTGAGATGCAGCATGAATCCAAGCCAAACTGTTTAGCACCAAATGCACTGGCCCATCAAAAACAAAAACGCTTGTCTGTGAGCTCATGAACATGTTCTTTAGCAAAGCATGAGCTCAATGTGTTTGAGCTCAGGAACTGAACGAGTTGTGGTTCAAATTGCAGTTGAAGACTTCCTACAATGCTTGCATTTATTAAACACACGTATAGCCTGTCGAGAAGGAATATGTGTACACAAGTGATTGCATGGACACCAGAATTTAGCTTTCTGTGATTCGTGCCAAAAACTGCTGCAAATTTATATCTGTTACTGCAGGGTTTATAAAGAAACCATACATCAGTGGAAAGCTTATTTATTCAGCTTTCAGATGATGTATACATCTCAATTTCAAAAAATTGACCCTTATGACTGGTTTTGTGGTCCAGGGTCACATATATTGACATATAAAACTGTTATTTTAAATTATAAAATTTCACTGTATTTTACTGTATAGTTGTTCAAATAAGTGCAGCCTTGCTGAGCAGAAGAGACTTCTTTCAAAAACATAAAAAATATTTTTTTGCACAGTAGTGTACATATAAAGCTAATTATAATGACTACACGAGACACACTCATTTCCTTTGTCAATAACGAGTCTTGTGTGTATGTTGTAGTTTTGATGATCCTGCTGTAGATCAGGTGGAGAGAGTGACGAATGCTCTGCTCAGTTCACCAGGATTTGGGACGCGCTGCATGAGCACCAACCCCATACCGTGAGCAACACACACACACACACACACACACACACACACACACAGGTGTAGCAGCTGACTATGTGTTTCCTGTTCCTCCTTCAGTAAATTACCATGTAACATGGCGGGAGGCACGATTTGGTTAACTCCGGCGGTGGATCCATCTATCACTGAGATCTTTGAGAAGGGGAACTGGAGTATGGAGAACCCGTCGCCAGACTGCCAGTGCAGCACACCGCAGCGCAGCTTCATGCTCCCCGACTGCCCGCTCGGAGCCGGCGGTTTACCGCCACCGCAGGTCAGACACACACACTATCACACACTGGTGAATGGCCACTGGCCGAAGTCGCATTCAGTTGCCAATTATTGCCTGCACATTGCTGATGCAGCTTTATGCCAATGGCTTCTGCTTGATTTTGGCCAACTGCAATAGTGTTGCTTTGAATTTTCAGATTTGGGTGAACTATCCCTTTAACCAATAACACGTAGGTTCATTTTAACTAATGCATTAAAACCCTCTTGTTGTATTGCAGGTCAATTTGACCCACACTCAATTTCCAAACTGCTTAAAATACTGGTTAAGTTGTTTATTTCTTCATAAAATTTGGTAAATATTTCTAATTTAGGGTCATGCATGTGCATGCAAAGTTTCGAAACATAGATGCTTTTTGGAAAGACTGTACAAATATTTTGCATTGAGGTCAAATTGACCCTCCTGGGTTTTTTTGCAATTTGTAAAAAAAAATCAACAATTTGAAAAACCAGAAAACCTTTATTGTAGCTTGTCAAATACTAAAATGCGAAATTATGAAATTTAAGACACAATGTTTTCTTGAAATTGAATCGTCTTCAGAATCATCTCAGGGAAATTCACTGTTCACGCACATATAATATGTATGGATTGTCAGAGAGAAATGGTTTGTCCAACTTCTCTGAATAGAAACTAATGAGCCATAAATAAACGATCAACAATTTCACAGCAGAAAGAACATTGTTCATCCAGGTGAAAACTGGTCTTGAGACACATACATTCATTATCATACGTATAATTTAGTCTGTAGCATCTCTTGAATCTGGCAGACTGAAGTTCTGTGTGTCGGTGTGTCAGCACAAATGCAAATCACTCCTGTGCAACGCTGAGTTTAAACTTAGAATCTCCTCTGATTCTCTCTCAGTAAACAAGCTTTCTCTGAGTATATACTGCTGAAAACACACACACACACTCAGCTGACCCAGTTTGCAAACATTTGCTCAAGTACTAGTTTTACTAAACTAAGGAGAGGGTTCTACACACACACACACACACACACAGAGAGAGAGAGAGAGAGAGAGAGAGAGAGAGAGATGTTTTGTCTTGAAACATAA